AGAGGAGGGGACCTAAGGGACAAAGGGGAGTGGAGAGAGGTCCTTCCCTGGAGAGGCAAGTGGAAACCCTCCCACCCATCTCCCTCACCTTCCCAACTGCCCTTGCATAATAGATATGGGGCTTTGGGACTGGAGGACCATGGAGGTGGAGATGAAGATGAAGATGAAGATCCACCTAGTGAGTTGCCCAGGGCTTATCTCTTGCCCCCATGTTTCCTGGTCAGGTGCAGCCCTCTGATTACTACCCCTTGTTAGTTGTTCAGATTAGTAGTGATGAAGCTGTAGAGAGATACCCAAATGCAATAAAAAAGGACTTTAAGGCATTGGGGCAACTAGTACATGGATCAGGTGCACAAGTGGTGTTTGCATCAGTCCCTCGAGTGGAAGCGAAACTCAGTGAAAGTGGGTGGAAAATACACTTGATCAATGCGTGGCTCAGAGACTGTTGCCACTGTTGGAAATTTGGGTTCTTTGATCATGGGGACGTTTACATGGCACCGGGTATGCTAGCAACAGATGGAACGCATCTGTCCCAAAGAGGCAAAAGGATCCTAGCACAGGAGTTGGTGGGGCTCGCCGAGAAGTCTTTAAACTAGCATCGAAGGGGTAAGAGGATAAAACCAGGGTCACTAGAATGAGCCTGAGGTTGGCCTTCAGTCTGCCATCTCACTTGAGCTGGATAGTGGTGTCATATGTGACAAACCCAGGGCTGCTAGGGATAACACTCGGATGACATATCAGTGTTGGAGGCGAAGTCTGTACCTCCACTCAAGTGCATATATGCCAATGCCCGAAGCATGGGAGATAAGCAAGAGGAATTAGAAGCTGTTGTACACTGGGGGAACCATGATATAATTGCTGTCACAGAAATGTGGTGGGATGATTCGCATAGTTGGAGTGCCACAATGAATAGCTACAGGCTCTTTGGAAGAGATACACAAGGAAAGAGAGATGATGGGGTAGCGTTATACGTTAAGGAGTGCTTTGACTGCCTAGAATTCAAAGTTAGGCACACCAAGGTGGAGTGTTTATGGATAAGGATCAAGGGGGAGGCCAATGAGGCTGATATCCTAGTGGGAGTCTGCTACAGACCACCTGACCAGGATAGAGATACTGATGAGGCATTCTTTCAACAGCTGGGAGATGTTTCGCATTCACTAGCCCTGATTCTCATGGGGGACTTCAATTTACCACATATCTGCTGGAAGCACAACACAGCAGAGAGAGGGCAGTCCAGGAGATTTCTGGAATGTATGGATGACAACTTCCTGTTGCAGCTGGTCAGTGAGCCTACCAGGGGTAGTGCCCTGCTAGACCTACTGTTCACGAACAGGGAAGAGCTGGTGGAAGATGTGGTGGTCGGAGGTCGCCTTGGCCACAGTGACCATGATATGATAGAATTTTCAATATGTGGTGAAGTTAGGAGGGTTGTCAGCAAAATCTCTACCCTGGACTTCCAGAGGGCTGACTTTGGACTATTAAGGATGCTGGTTTGAAGAATCTCTTGGAAATCGGCGCCTAAAAACAAAGGAGTCCAGAAAGGCTGGGCTTACTTGAAGAATGAAATTATGAAGGCACAGGAGGTAGCCATCCCTATGCGCCATAAAATGAGCCGTTGAGGAAGACCAATGTGGTTGAGCGGGGAGCTTTCACAAGAGCTCAGGGGAAATAAAAGAGTCTATCAACTCTGGAAAAAGGAGCCGGTGAATCAGAAAGCATTTAAAGATATTGTAAGGTCATGCAGAAAGAGAATCAGAGAAGCAGAACTTAATTTGGCCATCTCTGTAAAGGATAAAAAAAAGTGCTTTTATAAATGCATTAATAACAAAAGAAGGGTCAGGGAAAATCTCTGTTCCTTGTTGGATGAGGAGGGGAACATAGTAACAGAAGATAAGAAAAAGGCTGAGGTACTTAATACCTTCTTTGCCTCAGTCTTTAACAACAAGATTGGCTGTCCTCAGGACAGCTGGACTCCTGAGTTGGTAGACAGGGATGGGGAACAGAATACCCCTCCTGTAATCCAGGAGGAAGTAGTTAGTGATCTACTGTGCCAGCTGGATCCCAACAAGTCCATGGGACGGGATGGGATTCATCCTTGGGTGCTGAGGGAGCTGGCAGAAGAACTGGCTAAGCACTCTCCATCATTTTTCATCAATCCTGGCTAACTGGGGAGTTCTCAGATGACTGGAGGTTGGTCAACGTGACTCCGACCCATAAGATGGGCCAGAAGGAGGATCCGGGGAACTATAGACCTGTCAGCCTGACCTCTGTGCCTGGCAGGGTTATGGAGCAGATCATCCTGAGTGCCATCAAGCAGCATGTAGAGGACAACCAGGGGATCAGGCCCAGTCAACATGGGTTTAGGAAAGGAAGGTCCTGCCTGACCAATCTCATCTTCTTCTATGACTGGGTAACTCATCCAGTGGATGAGGAGAAGGCTGTGTGTGTGGTCTTCCTC